TCGGCTGCTTATTGACCTCGATGAAAAGCAGATGTCGAAAATGCTGATTTTCTCCTCCTCGATATTCCAATTCTGAGCCAGAAAAAAGACGTACAACTAGACTAACCAAAAAACGAATGAAACTAGTTTATAGAGGGGAAAGAACTCTTTCGAATGAATGTATACACTTTGCCAAAAAACAAAGCGAATCTTTGTAAAATGACCCTAACACAAAACTCTACGAACTTATGTTACAACCCAATACATCTCAATTCACCACTGGAACACCACATAGCACGTTAAGAAAAATGTGAAGTCGGAGTTCGTGCAGTTTAGTTGGACAAGGCTCACATTCTCCAAATAGCCAAGACATCGCTCCACCCGACTGTTGGTTGTTCTCTGATCTAACTCATTATTTGGCAAAAAAGCTTCAAGACTCGCTTTCAGGTTGGAACTAAGTTGACATCATGATTTGCCTCACGCCAGCCTGCATTTTGGAGAGACATCATGTACAAGCTGCCTGAACGTGGGAAAGAAGAACCTAACAACGATGCCTACAAAGTAGATATATTAAGTCCCGTATGTTTCTGAACATTAATGAAGCTCGCTATTGATGTGGAAAATAGTTTTCCCTCAAGAGGAAGTTATTTTCAATTTCCATAGATACAGGGATATAATTGAAGGGAGCAGTTTCAACAGGCTGTGTGTCTAATGCTGAGGGTTAAAGCGTAAAGAAGGATAAGAAACCAACTTCACAGTCCGTATTGACGTGCCCAGACGGTTATAGCCCGTCTTTTTTTTTTCTAACCATAAGCCTGAGAAAAATAAAGTCGGCCGTGAGATGATATAAATATATAATAGATATATGACGGTGATGTACTCATGAGAGAACTTAGAGGGGGAATCCTACAACATTTTCCGAAAGCTCTATTCTGCCACGTCAAAGAGTATAGGGTAATTTGCGCCCTCTTCCACTTGATAAGGAATGATAGTCTTAGGAAACAGGCAAAACAAACTTTAACAGGCACAAGCTTCATGAAAGGCAATAAATCATAATGACCACTAGATGCGACTGTGAAAAACCTGAATCTGGTTGCAAAGATGTTATATGCAGCAGTTCAACCGGTGTGATGGGTTCGCAACCACGAAGAAAAGAATGCAAGATCTGCGCGTACGCGTGGCCATTAATGTAAACTCGTTCATGCTTTGTTGGAGGAGGGAATTCATTACAAAAACGTCGTTTTCAACAATTCTATGCTACAGAGGAAGGTTTACTTGTTGACGACTATTATGTAGTGGGAACGCTGTTAGGACTTTGAAGGCACAGTTTGCGATTATTCTTAGTTATCCAGACAAAGGATGAAGGATAAAGTTTTTAGCGTTAACCAATTTCGTCTAAGGGATGCGCCCTCGTACTCGACTTCCATTCAGAGTCGTAGTGGCGTAATGAGTGCGTATGTAGCCTATGCAGACTTGCGGTGACCAGCCGATGTACAAGTCAGTGCTTTTATCCTCCCAGACGAGTCTGGTACCAAATTCTTCAAAAAAGTCGTTAAAACGGAGGTGGACGAAAATAAGACCCCAAAAAGAAGACGTAAGAGGGGTGTTTGGATGAGTTATACCACGTGTGCCACTGCGTACAGCTGAATACAGTGAGCAAAAATGTCTTTTAAAATTCATCTATGCATTCAATACATTCGAACTCAACAAAAAAAGTCTTCTGCCTTCAAGCAACTGTATCCCATTATTGAGAAGATCAAGGTACAGATGCTTTTCTACAGCTTCTGTAGGAGATGAAGATCAGTTCCAATCTTAAATTCTATGCGAAAATCTAACTGCAGTCTTTCATTCGGATGATTCTGTTTGTGGCACTTTTACCAATTTTATTCAAGGCTCCTATTGTATTCTTTGTGTACATTGGAAAGCATTGCAGTAAAATGGCATTACTGTATTCTTGATATATAAGGTAAAGGTCCTAAAGGGTTATCAAAAATTCATCATGGGGAGTACATCGGAGTAGGAAGTAATAACCGAATAAGGATTATGTGAAAGACTATGGGAAGGCAGTCAAGGACGGCATTGGATACAATAAGGATGATGACGGCGTTAGTGGGTCACCACAATAGAAACCCCTCAATTACTTCATTCTTCAATACCGGTAGATTCCCGCGAATTCAGCCCTTGCACTGTTCGAGAAACATAATTGGTTCTATAGCTGTGTCATGCGCTTTCTGGATTTGTCAATGTTCGAGTTCATCGCAGTTTCGATACCAAACAACTTGTGACAGAAGGCCTACTAGAACCATCTACAAGTCAGTCTTGAGGGTTCACCTTCAGAAATTCGTAGGTCTAGGAAAACGGCGGTAGACCAGTCAAGAATCCTAGCTTGAACTGAACATCTAGTTGACCCGCTGAGGCAAGATTTGAGGGTAGAAATACCGCTACCCTGCGCTACCTCGGTCTGTTGCGGCAAACGGGCGACCATAACTGTTGTTCCTTCTATACAACAAAAAACGCCATGAAAAAATCAGTAGTTGAACTTTATTAGTTTTCATAACTATACAAAAATTATCATATCATAACGTCAGCACTGGGGGCAGTAGCACCGAGATAGTACACAACAACTAGAGAGCACATTTTGATAATTCATAAACAAATACCCATAATCGAATAAAACGCCTAATCAATTATGATGAGACATATGTAGAAGAAAATATTCAAAGAAATACGGACTCGAGACTGATCAGCTGCTCTTGAAACGGGAGCAAAACATTGCAGGTGAAGGTATAGTCAGACTATTCAATATTTGAAAGCTCACTTGGCAATAAGATCTTGATAAAAACAAAAATACAAGTCCTCCATAGAGGGATCAGTAATGTTATAGCAGTACCTTGGTCTTATATGAGAATGATTGGCAAAATTTGATCACAAAAATCAAATGATGGATAGCGGTGGCTCTGATAAGATAACAGCGCTCGGCGTTTCATTGCTAGTTGTCGCCGTGCGGTGTGCAGTTTCAAGCCATCCCGAAAACTCTCGACTCTATCTGGGTTTGGCTGCCTGTCCCCGGAAATCGCGTCGCGCTCACCGCAACTGATCGCGCGCTGTGATAGCCACCGCTGAACCTCTGGCGCTTGCCGTGGGAATTCAGAGGGAACGGCCAGCCCCGTAGAGAAGAACAGGTCAAGTAACAACGTCGCGCGCGACGCACCACTTGGCTGTCTCACAACGGCGTTACAGAATGCCAATGGAATGTCGTGGAGCTCTCCGCGCGCGGATATTCGAATGCAACTCACACGCATATAGATTGAGAAATAAAGAGAAATCAGTGAAAATGTAGTCGGGACAGTGGCGCTGTACTTAGGTGCACTTAAGCACGATTCTATGCTCATCTATGCCATATAAGCAAGAATGTATTTTGCTCAAGTCCCCACTGGAATCATGCCATGCAAGCTTACAACAGCTCGGGAGATGCCTATGTAGCTCGCCTAGCTGGAGCGCCATCATTTCAAATGACCAATTTGACCAGATTCGCTAGCAGAAGAAGCAGAGTAGAAGCAGAATATGGCGCATCGGGCTTACCTACAAATTAGAAAATGGAAGAATCAGAAAATGAAGTCGTCACGCGGAGAGTTGTAGGAAATTGCCGACTGGGAACGCTGCAGCACTGATACACCCGATGTTGTGTTCAAATAACCACGCGCGGGAAAATAGTTCAGACTGCAAAACCATTAGCTGCCCTCATAGACCGCCACCAGCCCGCGAGCGCGTGCGCGCCGGCCGGGGGACTACTTGGCCTGCGGTATCGATCAGTTGTAAACGAGGGGCAAGCGCCGCCCCCGGCTGGCGGACTATGAAAGCAGCCACTGGGACAGCGGGGTGGTGCGCTGCGTGCGAGTGTGCTGCTGAATCCCGTTTCGTCGATGGTAGAACCGAACCGTCGATGGTATCTCCGTTATCACGTTGACAATCAAGGACCAAGTATAAACACACTAGCGGTTAGAAAGTGGCTTCAGAAAAGAAAACAATCTAACAGAATGAATGAACGATGGCAGTACAATAGTAGAGCAAACCGGGAATTTCAGGAGCCCTTTATCCTTTTAGTTATTGTGAAGTTACCTTTATAAATTATGGAACCAAAAAACATCAAAGAATGATGATCAGTAAAACTATAAATTGTGATAAGCAACCCTGCAAACCAATGGTAATATTGATTTAAACAGATAAGCTAATAGATGGCAGGATTCAAGGAAAGCGGTCGTTCAGTCATATTTTGAAGTGCATGTGAACTTTCTGATCCACTCGCAACGTCAGGCTTACGACATGACCAGGACTGATGTGGGTTACTCTACCCGCACGGTGGGCGTGCTGCGCTCGCTGCATTAGATAGCGCGCAATCGCTCACTGTGAAAGGGGATCGGCAATTGCAATCTCTGACGATCGTTGGGAATTCGTGTAGAAATACCGCCACCTTTAGACTACGGAAGGCTCAGAAGAGTGAGTGGTACTGTCAGACTTACTCGGTTTGAAAGCGATAAAGTGATACCGTGCAAACTTTGAGCTGCTTCTCAAAAAAATGGGAGAAGACGGTGATGATATAAGATACTACTCAATAGCTCCTGGCGTCTTGGCTGTTCCTATGATCACAGGGACAATGATATCGAATTGTTCGAGGTCGAGTTTGAAAAAATAGCTTATAGTGACTAGCCGATCCGCATGTATTGACGTAGGCGGCAAGTCAGACGGTACCGAGAACTCGATTTCTTTTGTTTCGGGACCCGATCCCGGCCTGGCTTTGCAAGTACCCTGAAGGTTGACAATAGAATGAAGCATCAGAATGAGCCGGTGAATTCGAAATCTGGGACTTACATGAGATTCAACAGCTATCGTGACACTCTTCCGATCGACTAAATGTGTTTCGTAGCGATTTGCAGCGATAAAATCTAGTTGTTGGCAGAGGGATATCAGTACGCATTCATGGTGCTCCTGAAAGGTTCAATTCAAAGGGTGAGCACAGTAAGTTTTCCGGCATTTTCGGAACTGTGCTCGGTTTTTTAACTACAGTTCAACTGAGGCATTAATGTTACCCAACCCACTTTTTTCCGTTGCCATCGTTTTCGCCGCGTTCGATCCTCGACGGTAAGGGTGATTCGAGTTGTCTCGCCTAGAACAGAACCTTCAACAAATCCAGAATTTGAAAGTTAAAAGACGTGCTACGAAGTGCGCCATACAAACTAGCCACATCCTAGCTCCTAATTGTGTAAAGTCCCGTGGGTTCACAGCGCCTACACAAATGAACATTCATCAGGGAATCACCGGGTATCACCCCATTTACGGCTTGGCTATTGTGCAAAAAAGAGTAATATCTGGATTGAAATAGTTCTGAATTCGATCACTGACCAGGGAGCAAGCCAACTTCTTGCACTTTCATAGAAGCTACAATTGTTCCACGTTTTCGTCCGCAGCATCCAACGATCTACAAAGTCAGGAATGAGTCATCATTAAAATAAAAAAACTAAATAGGAACAAGTTCCTGACTCTTGAGCTTCAGAACTTTATCATAAGTTTCGAGCTATGCGACGATCTTACCATCGTTAGGTGATGAGAGCTGAGGTTAGTCCAGTAAGGGCACTGAAGAAGGGTCACATCACCCCTATTCAATGCGCTGACTGGACGAGGCTTAGCTCTCATCCCATAACTCTGGTAAGATGAAGAGGCAACACAGAGTGACTGGACCACTCTTCATTGTGCTCAGCGGTCCCACTACAATCAACTTACCAATTCCTCCTCCGTTGTTGCCGTGGAATCTCGCATGTAAGGAGCGTCGAGATTCAGATATGGATAAACTTTGAACGTTTTTTCTGAAATACGTTTCTGTTAGTCCTATCATTCAGAACTCAATATTTTCGAAGTTTTCAAAAAAAAAAACAGTATTTTTGAATGTTTCTTTCAGAAAAAGCCCATATAGGAGATAAGATGAATTGGGAAATATTCAGATGCTTCCTCATCTCATTAGGACTCACCCGCCACCATTTCGGTATCACCGTCCTCGGGAATCGCCATCAACGCTGTACATGTGTAGCGGACAGAGCCGTAGTTATCACGATCAATCTAAACACAAGTCAAAGCTCATCAGTTGATTCAACAGCTCAGAGTATTTTTATGCTTCCTTTGAGCCTTAGTTTATAAGCATTCCTCGAGAACTCCAATATAATTGGCAATTTATGCATCCGTCTATTGACGAGTTCATCGATTAGTTTACTAGTTAAAAGATTTTCAAGTCATAAAAAAGAGCTCACAGAAGAGAGGACGTCCATTGGTAGCCGAGCTTCGAACGGTACCGAATGTCTTCCTTCTAACAGGTAGAACTCCTCTGTACAGTGATCCGCTATGACCCTGAACGCAAGATCATATTTGGTTAAGCGAAATAACTCGTCCACATTGGAAAATATCCTTTTATTGAAGTAAAAACTGACGTCGTCAAATCGATGAGTTCGTCCATGAAATTATGTCGGGATTCGTAGGATAGATCGCTGTTCTTATTACGCCAGCCAGTCTCGGCCACACCGGTTAATCGAACCAGAAGGCCTCCGATACGAACCTCACGAGTGCACCCAACATCGATCACACCCTAAAAATGGAATGGACTGGAGTCACGATATATTCGTGCGACTTTTGTACGACTTAGCATACATTCTTGCCACGGCTCTGTTCAACATTGCAGGGGGTAAGATAAATAAGCCAATAAATAAATAAGCAAATGTGTAAATAAATGTTGGAAAAAAGAGTAAAAGTTTTACTTCAAAAACAAATGTTGGATACAATTAAAAATTAATATGCGTTAAATGAAACGAAGATCAAAGTCTTATGGCGTTAAACAATCCGGTCTCTGGGTTGCGCCCCGCATTCTACTATCAATCAGAATCACAGGGGTGTTTGGGGTGTTTTAAATGCGTATGTGGCCTACACAATTACTTGCGGTGAGGTTGTTCCTCAAAATTAGCGTAATAGTCCCACGAGAGCAGTCAATTAGTTGAAAAGGACATGAAAATCGAAATAGCTAAAAACAGAATATAAGGCTGTTAGCAAAATAAGAAGAAAAATGTGGTGAAACGAGTTTCCCTATCCATTTACCTTTATAATTTCACCAGCAATATACGGCTCGTTCATGCCTCTATCCAATGTAACATCGAAGTGGTCCACCTAAAAAGTGAATGCCGTAGAGCTTACTCATGTAGTTGATGAGATCTAATTTCTTTAGGCACTTTCTTGGCGATATCAATTCCCATCAATTACAATACGATTGTTCACAAAGCTGAACAGCTGAATCTCACGAATTAGTGAGATTGGAAGCAACATCGTTGCTAGTTAGATAAAGTGACACCATATGCTGAGCAATTTCAAAAATACCAGAGTCAGTCAAATTTTGTTTGAATAAGAAGCACGGTAAACCAGTTTCGACTGCATGTGTTACCGTGCCCATAAGTAGAAAACTGTCAATTCAGTTGCTACTATGCAGCTCAAAGTTCATTCAGAGATCCGAATCGCTATCGCTGTACCCCCGCGATGAGTTGGTTTTGTTTCTATCTATAGCCATTTGAATAAAACCTATAACTTCAACCGATATTGACTGGAGTTACCTCCATCCCTTTTCGACTCTATAATCAAAATGGGTCGAAGTCATTATACCGATCAGCTTTATTTGTCACCGATTTTCTTGGGAAAAGCTCAAACAAACCTTCATCGCTGAGTCTCATTATGACATAGATGTATCAGTATGTCGTTGCGACTATGGACACTATCTGAAATATAGCGAATCAGGGAAATTTCAGGGTTGTACGAATATCCGAGAACAGCGGATGAAATGGGACACAAAACGGAATTTTCAAATAAAAATGGAAAAAGTTGTTTTGTAGATAGAAATCCGCACAAACTGTCATGATGTCATTTGCAGATACTTCATCCAGACAAATATAAAAGGATTCTCATTAAAAATTCGAAAAAAAGTCCCAAAGCCCGGCTTCCGACCGGAAGAATAGTTTTGATTTTACCATTCTCCGAAATTACTCAGTAGTACATTTTGGATAACATGTCACTAATATGGATCTTTACAATTTCACAGGGCATAATTAAAAAGGAACACGGTAGACGATACTTGGTGATAATCAATTCGCAAGAAACATTCTACCCCTTTGAACTCTAGTAGATATAAAAGTGGCGAGCGAAGTGCAAAATCCATCCTACAGCTTACGAAGAAACGCACTTTAGAGTGACTAACGCCCAACAAGTTTCCAACTTTCTACAGATGATTTTAATCTGTCACTAGCTCTTTGCTGGGAGCGAAGGAATCTTCCCAAATGGGCTAATATAGCCAGTACTGTAAAATAGTAAGAGACACCCCTTCCCACAATAGTTACCTACTTCTTTGAATGAAATGAACGGTGGATGTGAGAAAGAAGGTGACGTAATTTAATATGATCGAGGGATTATTTTTACATTACACCGAGGGTCATACATTAACGACGGCTATGTGGTTTATATTCGGGTATTTACAAAATCAAAACAATGTCTACTTGAAGAGCTTCAAAATGCCTTCTAGATGAAGAGAAACTATCACTGGAATGTTTCGAAGAGACTCCTTAAAGTTAAGTAAAAGCAGTGGACTGGTCGGTACAGATGTACTGATCGCATCTGTCCTGCGACTAGAATTTGAACTTTAAGCTATCATAAGTCGTCAAATAGCGAGAGGGTTTGAATAGATGTTTTATTAGCTTCATTGAAACAGATGGTGTCTGTCAGACGATTATGAAGAGCGACAGTTGGAGACGGATAGAGGGCAGTATCAGTGTTGGGGAAGCATCTTTCGTTGACATCCAGCAAACCGAGAACTACAAGTTGTGGCAGCTGTTTTTGGAAAACGATTAAAACAAATTATGAATCGTGCTCCAATGAAATTTTCAGGAAATATTCAGTATTTCACATTTAAGACATTTTTATTAAACACCCGCAACGGCTTTGTGGTAGTTCCTCTGAGGAAAGATGACTTGAAGCGGTTTAGTAAGCTTTATTGTAATCGTTCGTTTAATTTTATAATAATCTTTTGACCATAGAAGTTCATGTAACACTTCATTCAACAGTTAGCCAAGGATTGGTGCTTTAGACTTAACCAAACTAGGAAGCAACCATTTTGAAGAGCAAAGCGTCTAATTTGGACTATTGTTCAGCGAATTCGTGAAGGTCAAACCAATGGCAACGATGAAATTGATTCCATTTTGGGGATGCGCCTCCTATTCGACTGCCTTCAGAATCGTACTGGCGTTTTGATTGCGTTCGCGGCCTGTACAATGAATTGCGGTGGCCAGCAGATGGGGAAGTCAGCGTTTTTATCCTGTTCTGGTACCAAGTAAAGGTGCCGGATAAATTGAAAGACCGGTTAGTCTTCATAGATATCGATCCGGGATTCGATCCCCTAACCTTGCGTGTGTGATAATGGGCCAACTACTACTACAATACCTCAGCCTTTGAAAACTGATCACTCGGAATGTTGCGGCATCATAGAATGACTACGCCCTATAGTAAGTTTCTTTCTTATTACCGGCCCACTATTATCCTTGTACAAAATGTCTCAGTAAACTACGGAGAATGTCAGTCTAACAATAAATCTGTGATTCCCAACTATTCCAGTCGATTTACTCCCCTTTGAACGACCTCGAGGTCTACGCTCTCAAACCATTTTTGCTAGCGCGGCATTCTAGCCAGAGAGCTCGAATAGGGTTTGTGTAGTAGTTAGTAATAGGTAGTAAGTCAAGAAGTCATACACGCTATTGCCTCGGCTCAATGCAAGGATTATTTGTGTCAGAATTCGATGGTCACATAAATAGAAAAGAATGACGCTCAGTGTCAACGTCAATGCCATGCAATCCGCTTTTTCCCCTTTTATGCTTACATCAGCCCAAAACAATTGCATCCGACAGACAACGTGAACAACGGCCATCTATCATCCATCCAAAGACGAGTCGTGCCTCGAAAAGGAAGCAAACGACAAAAAAAACTGGCGACAATTGACGAACTAACGACAAACAAGATGGTCGGAGCGCTGTGCAGCGACTATTTTTATAAAGTTGTATCATAAGTGTAAGTAATCGAATACGAGATAAAGTGAAAAGCAAAAAACGTGAAATATATTCGAAGACAAGCATTAGGGGACTTCAGCAGTGAATGGATTTCGATGAGATGCGCCGTGCTCACGCATTCATCGAAGGGTTCCGAGGGCGAGTTGATATGTATAAGGCATTTACAAAGATGTATTTGAGCAGTTTGCTGATACTTTTTGAATGAATGGCCTTAATGTTTTAGGACAACCATAATATCTGGGACAGATCGTATAGTGGGACCGATAAATCGATGGAGTACGTTTGAGAGGTCTTTTAGACGCGAAATTCCACACAGTACGACAGCTTATGTATAACCTACACGAATATATTCAGAAAAGAAATTTACAAGAATTTCTCTCTTAGTTAGATGTCAACTAAGAATCAAAGCCGGTGGTTAGAAAAAGATGGAAGTTGTAGTAGAGATATGAACACTGAGAGATTCTTCGCAAAACGAGAAGAGAAAGAATCACAAAAAAAGGACGACTGAAATCAAAAAGGGGATCATTCTGACACAAAACCTTTTTGTCAAGGACAACGTCCAGCTTGAAAGTTGATAAATTATGAAGTTGTTTGTTTATTAAGTTGATATTTTGGTTGGTGGAACAGTCATGACAATGTGATGTTTTGAGCCCTTTAGGTAGAAAGTGACAAGTTGCTTCTAACTTTTGTTTAATTTAATTTTCAACAAGATCTTAAGGAAAATCAGCATGGGAACAGGGGAGGGAGACTGAAAACTGACTGACTTAAAATGAAGATCCCCCGTCAAATGACCTTGTTTTTGCCGTCACAACAATACGTAATTGAAGCATAAAATTGTGATGCTCACATAAAAAAGATACGTTAGGGATGGAAAAAGGGCACGATCTAAAGTGTTTTGGGACAAAACGTTGTGGTATGGAGGTGTTTAAAAAACATTAAGCTAAAATCATGCTGTAAAGAGAAAGATCTGGCTAATTCTCAACATTTTCTGTCGGGCCATTGACCCATTATCAGCTCTTATCAGTTGTTATCACTTTTTATCCACCACTATTTATCAAAGATCACGTCCAAACCTGCCGAAGATTTATTAGTTTCCTCTACCAAAAGAGGTGTTTCCACTATCAACCAACTAGATTGAATGAGTCATTGCTGTGAACGGCACTTTCAGTTCGATGAAAGTGAATTCATAAGTAATTTGATCATAAATCAAAAGAAATTAAAGTCATCTCGTATAGTAAATTTTGATGATAACCGGAACTGGTTCCAGTCAGTTTATTCTCTTCAGAAAGAATTAATAGACGTTCCTCTTTCCGAAAACGAGAGATAAGCTGAGATTGAAGACCCGTGGAGGAAAAATTCTATCGGATCCTATTGCAAGCAGCGCCCATTACAGAATTTTGGAAAATTTGAAGTCCTCGAGAAAGTGGAGATTCTTAAATCAATTCACAACCCAAACGAATCTCTTTTGTGAACAAAATATACAATTCGACAAAATTGAATTGACTTATAATTTAAGTAAAATCAAGCGATCTCATAACTTGACACTTAGTGATAATCAAAGAAAGCTACTGAACATACATATCCTCTAATAAATAGGCATTCTGTCGATAAGGATTGAGAAAGATCAGAGAGCATTGGACAAAGACAATTTCATCGGATTCGATGGCGAATGGGGCCCGTTACAAATCATGTCAGCAATGATGCGAGGAAATCAGCCAAGGACAACGGGCCCGAACCAAGCCGAAGACACATTTAATGGAAGCCGCCGGCTATTTGGGCCGCTGTCTAGTCGATGTTGGACGCATCGCAGTGGTTTCATGAGCAGAAAAAAAAAACAAAAAAACCAACCAACAAAAAGTGGATAAATTCGTTTCCTAGAAGAATGATTCCTTCCTGAGATTATCACTGAAAATCTGAACCTCCTCTTCGTCAAAATACCAAGTACGGTCCATGGCATGAGCATACATTACTCACTCTTTCNAGAAGTTATGAAGTGGTGGAATTTCATATTTTTCATGGCTATTACCACAGCCGATC